CACAGAGAAAATAACTCATAACAATAATGAGAGCTGCATTTGTAGTATTGTCTTTCCTTCTATTTGTCGTAGCTCGCAAAGCCATTGCCTAGGGTAGCAGCTCGATGTCGCCTCGAGCCGGTGCTTGACATCGCCGGTAAGATACTTAGAACAAACACCGATTACTACATCCCGCCGGTGATCCGAGGCGGAGGTGGTGGGCTCACAATGGCCAGCACCGGAAACAAAACCTGCCCACTTTATGTTGGCCAAGAGCGATATCGGTTGTCAAAAGGTCTCCCACTAACGTTCACACCTGTGAACCCCAAGAAAGGTGTCATTCGTGTTTCTACCGATCTTAACATCAAATTCTCTCGCTGGAACAACTCTGTGGCCAATCAACGAGTGTGGAAGCTTGACGATTATGACAAATCGACAAAACAATGGTTTGTCACAACTTCGGAGTTGAAGGAAATCCCGGTCGTGAAACGTTATACAATTGGTTTAAGATTGAGAAGCTTGAAAATGAGTACAAGCTAGCTTTCCGTCCGACGGTGTGTAATCACCTGCAAAGTTATATGCGGAGATATTGGCATTTATATCGATAAGCATGGGGCAAGGCGTCCGGCACTTAGCAATGTGCCTTTCAAAGTTATGTTTAAGAAGACTTGAAGATCTTTTGTTTATTGAGAATAAGGGCTGAAGATCTTTATGGATCATGAATGCTCAATTACAACTACAGCAAGCTAAATAAAGTGACTTTTCTTCTATGATTTGATGTTGTGACTCTTCATCTTTTGTTGTATACGCCATAGCTTGCTCCTGCTATATATATAATCATGTGATTTAAAACCTTCTGAACCAATGGATTAAAAAGGCATCAGTTTCATCAGCTATGATTGTATACACCATGTAGATTTTGGTCAAAAGTCTACACTCAGCTGCCTCCAAAAAGAGCATATCTATCTATAATTATATACTCCAAGTTTGAGTAGATCATGGTGAAAAGTCAGAACATAATTACATAAAGAAGAATGCTTGTACAAAATGGCTTGACATAAAAACCAAAGGCATCACCCCAAAAGGAAAACCAAATAGACTCCCTTCACATGTGGAGGTTGGTTAGTTAAATCTTCAAGAATGCTGATATTTGCTGACGGAAGTAAGAAACCCTTCTTCACGGGTTCGATGCTAACATCCTCAGATCTAGAGAGAGAGAGAGAGAGAAGGCAAGCACAGAAAAAAATGAAGAAAGAGGGAAGGAGAGAAGAAAGAGAAAGGTTTGAGGCTTTTTGAGATTTGCTGACGGAAGTGAGAAACCCTTCTTCATGGATCGTGCTGTCCTTTCGAGGTGTGGAAGAGGAGGAGAATTAGGATAAAGAGACTGTTGGGCCGTTGATTGGACAGTAGTATGAGCAGTTGCGGGGCCGTGGGTTGGACTGAAGGAGGAACAGGTTGAGTTGGATTTGCATTATATAATAAATGACTTGGTGTGAGCTTGGGGATCGAGCTCGTTACTTTGATTTTCTCTTGAAGGCAACGCAGAATAGATAAAGTTTTGTCTATTTTCTTTTGAGGAATGAAGTTAAAATGTTCATTAATCAAGAAATGAATTGGTGGCCCTTTCTTTTTACAGTGCATCGACTGGAAAAATGAAAAAAGTAATGACATTTCGTGTCTGAGTTCTCAGTTCTGAGTCTAGCAGCAGCTCCCCTGTTCGTCCACTATCGTTTCACTAAATCCGACCAAAAGTATCATATTCAAAAAACTGTAAATTTGGTGTTTAATTTTGATTTTTTCTTTAATGTTCAATCCGAATGTCTTTCAATTTGAATGTTTAAATTTTAAATTTTTGTTTGAGTGCTAAATTATTTTGAGGTTGAAAAATACCGATATTTTTTGAAATAAACACGTCATAATTTTTAATTGACACGTGATAAAAAATAAATCTTATCTAGCTACAAAAATATATTTTTTTAAAAAAAATTATAATTTGTGTGCTTAATCTTTGATTACATTTTTTTATTTTAGTCTAGCTCTTTTTTTTTTTTTTTTTTTTTTTTTTTTTGGGGTTTCCTCAATCATCTGAAACTATAAAATAATGATGAATATAAATGAAGGTATTAAAAAAAAAAACACATTTAGTGGAGGAGGGATTATTCTGTGGGTTTGGAGTGTTTTGTGTTCAGTGGAGATTCATGGGATTCAGTAGAGAACATTAATCTTGCATCATCCCAAGTTTAAAAAATATCACAACGTTATATAATATTTACTGTTTATAGCCAGACATCCTCATTTTTATTGTTGTTTTGATAAGCCATACATGGATTCATGGAAACACACACACATGTATATATATATATATATATAACAATCCTTGCAGCGGCATAAGCCAAGACAACAAAGAGGAGTAGAGACAACAGGAGCTAGCCCAGTCTCATCATTATTTAGCGTCTACATACTTTTAGCGTTCATGAGGATGAACTTAAAGAGCTGTCGACCTTCCTAAACATAACCAAGAAAGGTTCATCACTAAGGGACAAAATTCTACGTCCACCCTTCTCATAAGTCCCAATATCTCTGCATAAAACTCCACAGGGACAAATGTCTGAAGGACAGAAAACTAGCTTGTAAGCTGGCAGTAATTCTGTCCCAGCCTTCTCAATCCTGAACCAGTAGGTTATTGTATCAGCACCAGGATTTCCTTCAACCCCACCGGTTGTCACAAACCATTGTACCTCCGAGTTGCTAGATTTCTGAATCTTCCACACTGGTGACTGGTCACAGGGTTTCTTAATAGAAAACTTGATGTTAAGATCAGTAGATACTCGGATGACATCTTCCATGGAGTTGGCGGGTGTGAATGTCACCGGAAGACTGTCGTCGGAAAGGGGGTGGCCTCGAATAACATCATGTGGGCATGTTTTATTGGTGGCTGTAACATCACCGCCTCCAGCCCCCAGAAAATTGACAAGATGCTGTATTCCGTGCCTGCTCTAAGTTCTTCACCAACATCGTCAAGCACTGGCTCATTCTCATAAGCTGCTATTGATGGCTTTGCCAAGGCAAAGGCAAAGGCAAAGAGAAGAAAGGAGGACAATACCAACAGTGTAGACTTCATTGTTATTTGATGTTTCTGAGAACTTCTGTTGTTGGATATGAAAAAAACTTTGGAGAAGCTTGAATTTATAGAGCTAGCTAGAGTTTGGATGGAAATGGTAGATGACTCCTGCTTCCTCGTCTTTTTCCTTCAATTTTAAAACCACGTGTTTTTCACGGGAACAGTTTTTTATTTAAACACAAGCGTGATAGATAAACATTGTCCTATGAACCCATATCCAGGAAGTTTGACCATATGTAGCATACGTCAAGCGTCTAAATAAATCCTCAAAATAAAAGATTAAATGAAAAACAAAGCTAATAACTGATTATTACGAGATATACTAAACGAAAATGCTAAACTGCTGTAGCAGTTACTGTAGATTAACTGTAGCAGCTTTTTTTTTTTTTTTTTACTTCCTGCCCCTTTTGTTTTTAATTTTTCCCCTTCCATTTGCTTTGCTGTAGCCAAGCCATGGGGTTGGCTTTTATTAATTTTTTTTATTTTAGTCTTTGTTTTGTAATCTCTTTTTATTTTAATTATTAAAATTTTATTATATTTAATTTTTGTTCTTATAATAAATATTAAAATTTTATTATATTTGATTTTTTTCCTATGATAAATATTTTTCTTAACTTTTAGTAAAAATTTATATTCTTTTTTGGTTCCTATTTTATGATATATTTTTATTTTAGTCATTAAAATTTTATCATGTTTGATTTTTATCCTTACTATACTAAAACTAAATAAAGCATCACTATCCTAATCTTTTTCTTTTTTTTTTTTTGGCTTTTAGTAAAACTTTTCTTTCTATTATAATTTATGTTTTGTGATTTTTTTTAGACCATTAAACTTAGTAGAATTTTATTTTTGTTTAGTCCCCTGTTTTATAATTTTTTTTTATTTTGATCATTAAATTTTTATTATATTTGATTTTTTCCTTACAAGGAACTCTTTTTTAATTTGAGTAAAACTGTTTTTTATGTTTTGGTTTTTATTTTGTGATCTTTCTTTTATTTTGATCATTGAAGTTTCATCATAGTTGATTATTATTATTTTTACATTAAAATTAAATACAATTTCACTATTCTAAGTTTTTTTTTTTATCTTTTAGTAAAAACAATTTTATGTTTTGGTTCTTATTTTGATCATTAAAATTCTATCATGTTTTACTTTTGTTCTCGTTTTATGTAATTTCTTTTAGTCTTTTTGTTTATATATATATTGCTTTTAGTGAAAGTTTTTTTTTTTATCTATTTTGATCATTCTTTTTTTATCTTTACTTTTTTTTATCATTTAATTTTTAACGTGTGTAATTTTATCTCTTTTTTTTTTTTTTTTTGCCAAATTCTCGATTTGAATGAGATTTTTTGTCTTTTTGTTTTGGAAGATCTCTCTATTTCATTAACAAATCACGGATGAAGAATATATAGTAAAAATTAATTATTTAAAATTCAAAAAACTACAATATCATTATTTTAGTTATCAGTCATCGGACATATTTTTAATAAAATACATGTTTATATGAAACAATATGTAATTAACAACTTTATATTACTTAATTTTGTAAATTTTTCGTTTAGTTAACCTTACAAGCAAAATATGATATATATGTTTTGATTATTTTTTTAGAATTTTTTTCTCATAATCCTTTTAAATAATTATTTTTAAATTTTAAATTTTATATGAATAAATACATAAAAATATTATATCGCTATCTCGCGACAACGTATGAGATACATGCTGGTAACAAACTAAATTACAAAAAGATAGAAAATCATTGACCGTACTAAATATATTTTTTCTACTTTTTTCTACAATTTCTTTTCGTTTCAGTTTTATTTTAAAGAAGTTCACGTACTTGTAGCGTCTACTATATAATCATGTCATTAACCTCCCTGCAAAGATAAATAGTGAAAACAAAGTCTAGAAGTTGTTGTTCCATAGCCAGCTTCCTAGACCGAAGTTGTTGTTCCATGCGATCTAATCTTTTGACGACGATGCTGTCGATTTGGTTTGGATTGTCATTAAATGCTTTTCGGCTTCTGGTGGTGGGATTTTTCTTGTCCTGTCCGGGTAGTTGGTTCTTAGAGACTTTGGGTCTGAATTGGGCCCAATAAACTTAATAATTTTTTAAGGAGAGAGAGAGAGAGAGCGCGCACGTCACCAATATAAACCATGTGAACAGCAGATTGTACCTCCCAGTTAATAGATTTCTGAATCTTCCACACTGTTGATTGAGCACGTATTGATGAAGCAGAAAACGGATGACTCCTTCTTGGGGTTCAGAGGTGTGAATGTAAGTGGACATTATGATTTAGCTTTTTTTACTAATATTTAAGCATATCCTACACCATCTAACATTAGTTTGAGGATTACATGGTAAAAAAATTTAGTTGTCATGTCATATATATATATATATCAAAAGCTTACATTAAAATCAGTAATAAAATATACATACCAGTGTAGTGTGTGGATAGATGAAAACATTAATTACCAGCGGGCTGTGACCTATGGTTAGCAAGCGTTAGGATGTGAGTGTGGTCCACGAACTAGGTCCTGTTCAATGAAGACGCGTGGATGGTCCCGAAGACGAATCAGATCTTACGAAAGATATTGTGGAAGGGGAAAGTCGTTTTCGCTTTGATGGGTTTGGCTCCTCTGGTCCCAGTCATTTGCATCCTATGTCCCCCAATCATGTCAAAAAGGACATATCGATTTTTTAATTTTTTGCCCATTCGCCAGTTTAAACATGATATGTTGTTGAGTTCATTTCTCGTTTACTGGCCAGCTAAAGCTGTTAGTACTTTCAAATGGTGAGTGAATTGGGAGTTTAATGATCAGTGTATCTCTGTATTACTATAGAATATCTAAACAAAATTTTTTGATTAATTTTAAGAGTTAGTTGAAATTTTTTACACCAATAATTTGTTTAATATATTTCAATAATCTATTTGATAATATGCCATGTGTATTTTTATCTTGTTCATCAATTTTTTTAATGTTATTCTACGTAATCAAACCCTGAAGTTGTTGATATTTGTATGAACAAACCCGGCCATCATGGCCTTGAAAGATTTGATTAATGAACCAGCAATATCGTACTGTTCATTCAATATGTATTTATAGAAGTTAGAGAGCCCTAGTAAATTATAAAACTAGAGTTCCTATTTACAGAGTATTCCTATCGTGGAGACTTTCTTATAACTAGGGATACTTCACGGGAAGGATAATTACAATGGAGAAGGATAAACATAAGTGGTGTTTATCTTTTATAACTATTCATATCCTTATCATCTTCTCTTAAGCTGAGCAACAGGTTGCAGCTTCAGATTGTCACGTAAAAGAAGAAACTGTTGTTTGGATAATACCTTAGTCAGAATGTCAGCAATTTGATCATTGGTTGAGATGAAGCTAACTATGAGTCCCTTCTTCTTCACCTTGTCCCTAACGAAGTGAAAATCATCAATCTCCAAATGTTTAGACCAAGCATGAAAGATTGGATTTGCTACAAGATAGACGGCAGAGATGTTGTCACAACATATGACAAGTAGCATGGTTGTTGCAACACCTATTTCCTACAAGAGAGATTTGATCCAAGTGACTTCAGATACTGTGGTTGCTAAGGCACGATACTCTGCATCGATAGATGAACGGGCAACCGTTTTCTATTTTCTTGGGCACCAGGACACAAGATTTTTGCCTAGATAAATAACAGACCCTGTAGTACTTTTCCTGTCATCTAAATCACCACCCCAATTAGCATCAGTGTAGGCATGTAAATGTAATGAAGCAGTTAGCTTGAAGTGTAGCCCATATTCGGTTGTGGAACCCAAATAACACAGTATCCTCTTGGCTGCAGACTAGTGATCTACGGTTGGGGCATGCATGAATTGTGCTACCTTGTTAACTGCAAAAGATATATCTAGTCTTGTGAGGGCAAGGTATTGAAGTCCCCCAACAATGCTGATGTATAATGTTAGATTGTCAAATGAAGTTCCTGCCGTGGTCAGTTTGACAGAGGCATTGGCAGGCGTGGAAATAGAGCTAGCCTCATGCATCTTTTCCCTACACAAGATATCTCGAACGTACTTGGATTGAGTGAGGATAAGTCCTCCCTTGCTCAAGTGAGCCTCAATGCTTAGGAAGTAGGCAAGTTTACCCAAATCCTTGATTACAAACTATTGTTGGAGTTTTTTTCTTGAGATGTTAGATGAGGCAGTCAATGTTCCTAGTTACAAGAATATCATCCACATAAATAAGACAATAGATAATGTCAATACCTTTGATATAGATGAAGAGGGAAGTATCCGATTGGGAGCCCTTGAACCCAAGCTTAATAATTTCAGTGAAGAGACACTCATACCATGCTCTTGGAGCTTGCTTGAGACCATATAAGGACTTTTTGAGAGCACAAACATGGTCTAAAAATTTTAAATCAACATAACCTTGTGGTTGTTCCATGAAGACCGGCTCCTCCAGAGTGTCATGTAAGAAGGCATTGGAGACATCTAGTTGCTGCATTGTCTAGCCATCTGTTACTGCAAAGGAAAGTACCAACCTTACCATTGTTGGTTTGGTAACTGAGTTGAAAGTATCAGTGTAGTCAATGCCTGGACGTTGGTGAAAGCCTTTGGCAACTAGGCGTGCTTTAAACCAATCTAATGTCCCATCCTTGAAGCACTTAATGCGATACACCCACTTATTTCTCATAATATTGGAGGCTCGATCACGTGGAACCAAGACCCATGTGCCATTGGGATGTAAAGCAGCCATTTTCGCATCCATAACTTTGCACCATTCTGGGTACTTGCAGGTAGTGGAGTAAGTAGATGGTTGTGTGATGGCATGAATATGGTGATCAAATATATAGTTAAATAAAAATATAAATAAATGATTAGAAATAAAATAAAATATTCATATTGTTGTGGTGAACAGGATATCATGCTAATGTATCTATTTAATAGTTATGTGAACATAAATTTAATTAAAATAATTTATCTGAAAAAAAAACTTAAAAGTTACATTATTGAAAATCTAGTTAATACTAAATTGAAAATCTAATCAATATAATGGTTATGTCAACATAAATTTAACGCAAATACTTGGTTATAAAAATTTACTTTAATGACAATTTAATAGTTATGTTAGCTTAAATTTTCAAAATTAGTTAATTAGAAAAAATTAAAAGCTTATATTAATGACAATCTAGTTAATACTAAATTAAAATTTATTTTATTTTATTTTATTTTATTTCTAATCTAATCAATTCAATAATTATGTCAGCAATAAGTTTCTCGCCATCAATGTCAAGCAATGCTTCAGTGTATCTAGCTTATTGATAGCTGCTGCTATTAATGGCTTTGTGAAGGCTAAGCTAAGGAGAAGGGAGGAGGACAATACTAACAATGTAGACTTCATATGGATGGATTTCTTCTCTTTTTTTTTTTCAATTTGATGCAAAAATGAATGGAGAGAAGCTTGAAATTTATAGAGTTGGAATTGGAATGCTCGACAATATAGAAAGAAAGAAATAGAAGATGACTTTTGAAGCATAGGTAGAGCTGCGATGGCAATAAATTCTAATTATTATAATTCCTCAATTCTTCAATAATTTAGCCTTTTTTATTTTTAAATTTCAAAACCACGTGCTGTTCTTCTTCATGTTTGAGCTTCTGCATTTTGTTGATCCTTATCTTCTTACTCATCAAGTATAGATCATCTCCATTGATTTGTGGAATTTACGTTTTTCAATGCAAACCACATGGTTTATATGACAATTGATAAACAAGTGCATGCTTTAAGAGACCATGGCGTTATGATTTAGCTTCTTTTTTTTTTTTAATTACTAATATTTAAGCATATCCTATAGCATCTAACATTAGTCAATCAATTTGAGGATTACGTGGTACCTAAATTTAGTTGTCATGTTGTTCTATATTAAGTGTTAAATTAAATATTCAAAATTAAATTTTATTTAAAAGATTTAAGTGTTACGGTGGACCGATATAAGATAAATTATTTAATATTTTTTTATTTGATATCATATTAAATTATATAATTAAAATTAAATTTTGTCAAAAAAAATATATTGCTTGCGATAAGTAAATCATTCTTAACTTTATATACTTATTTATTAGATATAAGATAAATTCTTTAACATACATATCATTTTATCATATCAGGATTATTTAGTCTCTTGATAAGTTGAATTCTTTATAATTTTTTAAAGATATGCATAAATAAATATATTAGTAATCTAATCTCTTATCGGACTCGATAACATTATTTAAATACATAATCTAATAAAATTGTATGTAAAACAAGTATCTAATGATTTAATTACAACTCCAAAATATCATAACTTAATCTCATTAGTTTCATATTATTACAGACAAATCAGCTTAAAAATTATTTAAAGAAAATGAGGTTATCATTAGTTAATTAATTTGATGATTAATCAATTTGAGGATCTGTGTCATGATGGTTGCTCTGAATGTAATCCGTTATCTGACCTTTATCTCTAGGTCACTAGGCCCACTACATAAATAAGAGGACATGCTCACAGTCCTTCTTAGCCTAAAAATGATCACATTTAGCCTATGTCAAATCAGATGCATCAACTTCCAAACTTCCCTTATTTCTGTAACCATCTATACGCACATGCTTTGCTGAGGCAAGTCAATCAGCGATCAAGACAAAAATCAACATCTCCAATCCTTCTCCGATCTTTTTGAAAATTCTATATGCAAATTAGGGAGAGTATTGACCAAATGGTTGACGTGTCAAACCATGCATGTGCTTTTCTGTCTTTTGCCCCATCATTAAAAAATCTGTCGATGAATTCCGATCTAATGGTGTTTTAGCACTCCAGGACTGCTGGCTTTTTAGGTCATGTCTCCTTCAGATTTGCCGTATCCATAATAAATTGTTGCATAAATAGGACCCATTTGGGGAGAATTTGGAGTTTCTTACTCGTTTAAATTGTCTCGAAAGTTTTAAAATAACATTACACTCCATTCCTTGTGTTTTGAACTGAAAATTAAAAGGCAAAAAAGTAATATCAAATACTATTTCAACACACAAATTAATAGAGAAGCAT